TTTACCATGTGTAAGGAACACACTCAGGCTACGGCTTCTCATTCAGTCTCTAAGGCAAAATGGGCTTTAAGCCTCTCCGTATAAATCTCCCTTTCCAAAGCTGAGTTGAAGGAACATTTTAAGTGAAAGCTATTATTTTGTCTACCCCAACAAGACAAGATTGATATCTAAAAGTCACATTATAAATGTGATTTTCTTTTCCTTGAAAACAAACAAACTAACAAATCCTGGAGTGATGTGGGTCTACTGGATCCTGTGTTGCTCAGGTAAACAGACAGAAACCAATTAGCCAGCACAGAAAGATGGATCTGAGTCCTGTTTTGACACTTTGGCACACCTGCACACTCTGTGTCATTGGTCATACCACGTGGGTAAACACAAACTACTTCCTGTGTCTCTTACTCTTAGGCAGAGGTACTGAGATTATAGTAGAAAAATAAGAGATGGGTCCATTTGACCCAGGCTTTGGCCGGGAGGGCTTCTAGATAGAATGCACATTCCCATCTGACGTGGGGTCCTGCTTGGCCCCTGGGTGGGTGACCTGGGGCACACCAGCCTATCAGGGCCTGTTGGGTCATCTAGGAAATGACATGACTTCTCTAAGTGTGTGATGCTGAACTGCCCAATGGTCACTCATGCAATCTGCAGGGCTGCTCCCAGTTTCCCCAACAAGTAAATGGGGTATCAGAGTCCAAGCCAGGATGTCCAAAGAACACATCTTTTCCTCTTTCCAGGGCACCTCTGACAAAGGTTCTTCAGCCCGATGCACAGTTCCCATTTCCTTCTGTATCAAGCAGGAAGGAAAAAGTCAGAAAAAGTCAGTTTGACAAGCTCTTTGAGCTTTGTCCCACGGAGTTCTGTTCCAGGCAGACAGCCGGGGCCTGTGAGGCTGACAGAGAGAGGGCTGGCTTCTGGTGGATTTGAGTCTACACTGTGATCACTCCTTCAGATATCACCTCTCAGAGGCCTCTTGCACATTTGACTTGGCTTGGATTGCGAAGCATGGCCACTAGAATTCCAGACCATAGGGAGCCCATGGAAGGAATGTGAAGGACCCCGAACTCCCAGGTTCAAACAATCCCTGAAATGTACTGAATCTGAATAGCACACTCAAACCAAATTATTCTGTTTAAAAAAAATAGGCATTTGCCAGGCATACTGGAACTCACTTGAATTCTCAGCCCTGGATAGCTAAAGTCTGAGAGGGACTTGAGTCCAGGGATTTGACATCACCCGCCAGGCAACACAGCCTTTGCCTATTGTCTTTATGACAGTCTTACCCACTCCTCTCAGGATGTTACAGAAGCCAAGGTTGGGCTGAGGGTGAAACATCTTCAGCTGTATTGCTGAGGACCATACAGCTAATAATGGGCAGAGTGGACGCTGGAATCTGGATCACCCCCCTCCTGGCCCAGTGCGCTGGGAGGTCTCCATTAGCACGGCATCCTTCCGCTGCTCACAGCAGGCTGGGCAGGGGGTGATAAGTAGCTGTCCCACCCCTGTCTTAGCCCCACAGTGGCCACATCTTGCAACTGTGCAAGACCAGAGTTCAACGAGCAGGCTCTGTACTCCCAGGAGGGCCCAGAGGTGGCCCCTCCCACGGTAGCTGTGCAGTGTGTGTCTCATTTGGGGACTGAGAGTAGACTGGGGATGGGTGTTGGGTGGCTGCTATTACAGAGAAAGGGAGAGGTACAAGACATTTATGTTCAGCTCGGAGACCTGGAGATGCTCTCCTCTGCATCAGAAGCAGAACATCTTCCAAAGTGTGCTGCACCCACCCTAGCTCTTATGGTGCGAAAGGATCCTGCCTATGTAGACAAGTAGACAAACTACAGCAAAGCGTCGAGGCCTGGGACAGAAGCCACCACAGTGATGGGGATTCCGTGACAGTCTATCCTTCCACTCTTTACCTTAGCCCCCGCTACCAGGAATGTAAATTTTGCTAGTCCATTTGTTAGAAATCTACTAGACGGACTCTAGTAGACTTTCGGTAGGCTTCACAGCACCACCTCTACCTGATTCCCATCTAAGAAAAAAAAAAAAAAAACTTGGGTGTTTGGGAGAAAAAACCCAACTTCTCCACCACTTAGCAGACAGTATGGATGGAATGATTGGTAATGTCATATTCTTTGTTGGATTCGACTTGGCAAGTGACTATTCTAGGGAAAGTGATCAAGGGTTGCTGGAGGTTCACAGGGAGGAAAAGACCCTTAAAGTCTCTTCTATCACCCAGTGGATGAGTTTTCTGTTGCTGCTGTAGTTGTTTCTACCACTAAGGGAACAAGAAGCCAATTGTAGTATTAAGAGCTGAGGGGAAAGCTAGAAAGAACTCAGCACACAGTCAACATTGTTGAGTTGCTAATTCAACTAGTCCTGCAGTCTGCCTTGCTCTGGATTCTGTGATTCACAAGACCACAGATACCCTTATTCCTCACACCCATCTAAAACAGACTTCAAGGGCCGGCCATATAGCTCAGTGGATTAAAGTGCCTGCAAGCAGGTGAAGGGGCCCAGAGTTCAATCTTTGGGCCTGCCAGGCTGGCCCTGCCCCCAGGGCATGCTGAGACCCCAGTTGAGACTGGGTATGGTGGCACATGCCTGCAATCTCAGCTCTTGGGAGGCTGTAAACAGGCAGGTCACTACGAGTCCAATCTAGTAGTGAGACCCTCAACACCCTGTAGATCCTTCCCTAAAATACAAAATAAATAAATAAATAAATAAAACAGATTTCAATGATAGTTGAAATTATACATATTTGGGGGATAATGGAAGTCTGGTGTTATTCTATCCCTCTGTGTCTGTCAATTTAATCCTACACAGGGGGTGATCAGATTGCAAGGTACTCCGTGATCTGATCCAGCCATACAGGTAATGGCAGTGTGTAAAGGGAACCCGCTGATGAGCAGCTAGCTGCTATCTCCACTGCATAGGTCGCTGACAGTCAGCTTTGTCTGCTCTGTAAGCAATCATGCCACTAGTGAGTGAATAAACAGAATACTCATGTTCCCCAAATGCCAGAAAATGTAGCTTCCTCTGAACTGGGATTTATATAAATTCCCTTGATCTTAGCCTTACAGTATGTTCAAACTTCATAACATTTCTTTTATTTTGGCCCAAATGAGGAGACTTGCTAACACTCACTGTGCTGACTACCAAACGTGCTTACTCTCCTTTCACAGTAACCTAAGAGGCTGCCACTGTAACAGGTCCTGTTGTACAGACAAGGAAATTAATTCTCAAATAGGTGGGGAACATTGTCCAGGATGGCTCCACTAAGGAGGGGCAGAGTATCCAAATTCAGTCCCGGGAAGATTTAGTATTGAACAAATGGCTTCCATTGTCCCTTCAGTCCAACAGCTCATACATCTAAGATGCCTTAGTTCACCAATGAACAGGAAGTCTTGACACTGGAATTAAATGATCGGGTCACAAACCAAATAACCAACAGAATAATTCTAGCCCCAGCTGGCTCCCCAGATGCCTCCAGAATCTTGTTAATCTTATACCTTCAAGCTCAGACCAATGGACCCAATCTTAGATTTTGCTATCAAAGGTCTACTGCTGCAGGGCACAAATCCAGGTACTGCGTTTACAGCTATTAAGACCTTCACAGTGGCTGTGGTCTATATCTAGATGTCCTTCCTAGGCTCAGCAAAGCGACTTTTGGAGGAGGATTGTTAGCAGGCGGGGCCTGGTTGGGAGAAGCAGGTCACTATGGAGGTGGAAAATGAAAGGGTACAGCTCTCTCCCGGGAGCCTCCTGTCCTCTCTGCCTCCTGGCCACCATGATGTGAACATCTCTGCTCGTCCAAGATCCTCCATCAGGCCATTTCTGCATTTAAGCAATGAACTGAAATTGTAAATTGTGAGCCTAAGCGAACCTCTCATCCTTTTGTCCCAGCGACGACTTCAGTGGCTAAGGCAACACCTGAGATATGGTTAGTGTTCGTATTCATTTAATTGGACTTTTCTGAGCATCTGTGGAAGATTGCGAACAAGAATGAAGGTATTCTCCCCGAACTTACATTTCAGTGGTGGGGAGAGGGATAGGTAGGGCGCAGCAAGCCCAGAGCACCTTCAAACACTCCATTAGGTTAAATAATGATTTACAAGTACGTCTAAGCCAGATGCTGTTCCGCGATGCAGATATAAAAAAAGATCCCATTCTCTCTTAACTGACAAGTCCAGTCAGCACAAGTGTAAATGGATCTGCCTGTGTCTGGGAAGGCGCCTTTCTGGTAAGTTTAACGGTTCTATTATCCAAATGTTGGAACAATTCTTCCTATGAAAGATGGTACAACCCACATACACATCTGTCAAGAGAAGGGTTTGTTTCTCATCGGAGTAGAAGCACAAAAATAGCTCAGGGGATTAAAGCGCCTGCTTAGGCAGAGCACCGTGGCTGGGGTTCCATACCGGTCATGCCGTGCTGGCTCCGGCCCCGGGGTGCACTGAGATGGCACTGAGACTGGGTGTGGTGGGGTGCACCAGTAATCCCAGCGCTTGGGAGGCTGAAAACAGGAGAATCACTACGAGTCCAATCTATGTCGTGAGACCCTGTAGACTCTGTACCAAATATATTAAAATATGTACATATTGCAAATCTAACTGGATGATCTTAGCTGGCTTTTATTGGGGCTCTACAGGTGGGCAACCACTGCTCTGCCCAGAAGCAATGCGGGGCAAACCGGGAAGGGACGTCCTGACTGCCCTCCACACCTGCTTCTCAGGGGACAGTCTTGGCTCGGTACCCTGCAAGACCCTAATCCCACAGGCACTCTAGGGGATGCGAGAAGCGAGAGGGACTTCGGCCGAAGGGCACCTAACCTAGAGTTAAAAACGAGGCGTGGCGGGGAGACCCGACCCATTCCTCCTCCGACAGCTACGGCACCTGGCTCCAGGTGGTACGTGAGGCCAACCAATCGGAAAGAGAGTTGCATCCGACGCCGTCCCCGACATCCAATAGCAGGAGGCGTCTCAGACTCGGCCCCAGCAGTCCTAGCCCGCGGCGCCCAGCGGCTGCGCGTAGCTGGGGCGCCCGCGGCAGCGTAGGACCCCGCGGCTGTGACCTGGGCGCGGGTGTGGCTACTGCGCATGCGCCGACGGAGGAGCCGGCCTCGGCCGCTGGCGAGACTCTCCGCGGCTCCGGGCACCCGCGGGCGCAGGTTCCCACGCCGGGAAGCGGTGGCGGCGCGTGGGCGCCGAGCGTTTGGAAGGGAAGGTCATCCTCCCTGGTCCCCGGGGATTGGACGGAAACCGAAAGATGGTGAGGCCCGGGCCGTGCCCTGCAAGGCACCCCCTTCCCGGGAAGTCGGTGGTCACGTCCGGGGTACCGGACGGGGAGGCGGGGCGGACGCGGGCCTTGGTCTGGGGGTCACGGGGTCAGAGGTTACGGGGTCCCGGCCCGCGGTGGGGGGCAGGGTGGAGCTGGGACGGTGGCATAGACCTTGGGTTTGCGGTGACTCTCCGGGCTCCAGTCCCGGGCTGCACCTGCCGGGGTAGCAGGGCTTAGGTTAATTAAATATTTGTGATTCGATAATTATATGTAAAACCTTTTCTAGAACGCGGGCACAGGCCAGTGAGAGATCCCGCCCAAGTGCTTTTTTATGGCCGGATGTTGGTTTAAGCCCCGTATCAACAACGCTTCCTTCCCTAGTCCCAACAATCCCGTAAACTAGTAACGTCCTATTTGGGGCAGGGAGGTGCAAGTACCCTTTGGAGATTGCCTCCGGACCGTGCAGGACGCTAGGCAGGTGCTTGCGGTCACCGGACCCAGCCCGGGCTTGGGGAGCCCTCAGGCGACCTGGGAGCCCCAGGACCTGGAGGAAATCGGCTGCGGGTGTCGGTACCGTGCTTCTCCTAGCTTCCTTTTTTCCGGATTGATCTCAGGTGTTTTAAGGAAACTGAGCTCTTGAGAGTTCTCATCTCATTCGTTCCATCTCTCTCCTTTGAGTTACAAAATGAAATGAGCAAGAAATTCTGATGAAAACACAAGGAGTACATGCAGGAGACATCTTACTATGTAGAAAGTCAAGAAAGTAACTGTTTTGAAGGTGCTAGGAAATTGTGTGTGTGCCAGAAAACTGGAGAATAATTCAGAATCCTAGAATTTTTAAAATATGAAAGCTTTTCGGGGACTGGTTATCCGAGCATAATCTTAGGCAAACGTGTAAGTTGTCTCCATGTACAGTGCGATTTTGAAGCCACTTACCTTACAGAGCAGGTGACATGCTATTAGTGACAGATGCTTTTCACCATATCCTTTCTTTTTTTGGTTGTGGGAGTTGGGTGGTTGGGTGGGTACAGGGATCGAACCCAGGACCTTGGGCTTGCCAGGCAGTCGCTGTGCACCGTATCCCTCTGAGAGGTCACATCTTCTCACGCGGGCAGTGAATGCCAGTGAGAGCTGACAGCCTGCAAATCTTTCCAGAGGAGGTAGAGGGTGGTTTTGTCCCCTGAATGGAGGGAGACCCAATGGTATGAGGTAGCTGTTGGGATGGGTCAGCTCTTCCCTTTGCTATATATTTTTGGTGGGAAAAATTACAGAATTTTTCCCAATACAACAACTTCATTCCTTAAAGCTTGATTTTCATCCTTTAAAAGTACTTGAGAATTTTTCACTGGTTGCTTGTTGATGGATTACCACTAGCTGTTAGAAAGAAACAATGTGGTAGTTTTAGATCCAGGCACTGCGAACAAAAGAGAGGCAGACATTCTGGCAAGTGGAATTCTGTTACTGGTTTGAGGATTTTTTTTTTTTTAAGAAAATAAAAAATAACTTAAGAAAACATTAGAAAAGATAAAGAATTTCACTAAACAAAGTAATAGGAATTCAACAGTGGTTTTATATTGTGTGTTGTTGGCTTCAGCGTAGTTGTTAGTGTGAGGATTATTCCCCAATTTACTGCGGGCGTGGAATGACTAAGAGCTGAGTGCTTTCTGAGCTCATCCAGTCCCTGGAATTCAGCTTGATCATATGTGAAAGGACATTAGACTAAATTATTTGTAATGTATTTTAGTTTCATACTAACATTCTCCTGCCTGTCATGGTGCCGATTCCGGCCCCCTGAAAATAGCAGCCTTGGGACTAAAGCAAAATGAGGAAACTGATTTTTAGAACCTGATTATTTGACTATGACTAAATCGCAAGTTTTTATTCTACATACAATTCCCTTAACAGATAATTTGCAGGTATTTTCTTCTAATTCTAGAATCGTCTTTCTTCTTGCTTGATGGTATCCCTGGAAGCACAAATTTTTTTAAATGAAATCTAATGTATTTCTTTCTCTCTCTCTCTCTCTCTCTCTCTCTCTCTCTCTCTCTCTCTCTCTTTAATGGTTTTGATTGTCTAGTCTCCAAGACAGGAGACTAGAGGAAGGTTTTGTCTAATCCAAGGTTATGAAGAGCTGATCCTGTCTTTTCCTCTAAGAGCCTTATAGCTGTCACTCTTAATTTAGGTCTGTGGTTGATTTTGAGCTAATTCTTAGGTGTGTTAGGAGGTGAGGGCTTCCATTCTTCTGCAGGTAGATCCCTAGTTGTCCTGGCCCCTTTGGTTGACTAGTCTTGACGCCCCTCTACTCCTGGAGGTTACTGTATTGGAAAAATCGTTGGTATCCTATGATGTTCCATTTGTAGTAATTCCTCTAAGGGTTTAGTTCTTAAAAAAAACAATATAAGAGCTGGCGAGATAGCTCAGCGGACTAAGTGCCTGCTTTGGCAAGTGCAGGGACCAGGGTTTGATCCTCAGTCCTGCATGCTGTGCTGGCCCTGCCGCTGGGGCATGCTGAGCTGGTGATGGAGTCTGGGTGTGGTGGTGCATGCCTGTAATCTCAGTGCTGCGGAGGCTGAAAATAGGACCACTATGAGCCCGAGCTACATGGTGCGACCCTGTACCACATACATAAATGAAAAACAAAACAAAAAAAAACACAGTGTATGAATCTGCCAGACCATGTTACAAAGAAGCCTTGATATTGTAGAACAAAGTTGATTCAAGTGTAGAGCCTATGTTTTCTTTGTCTGATTCATTATTTTGATTATTTACATCCTGTCTTGAGTATTAGATACTTGAAAAGTATAAAGCTTTTTTCCCCTGATGCATGACATGTGCGTATATGTTTGTATTATGGACTTAGATATGTTAGATATTTGTTGAGTGATTTTTTTAAAAAAAAAATGACTTCAATGTGTCTGAACTGTAAACACACTATTATAGAAGAGCTGTTACAGGTCACCTAGAGGTTACCAACATTAGTGATTATTACCTTTTTACATGTCCTTGTTACCGCGAGGCATGGTGATGATTATGAAGGCTGGCGTTTACTTCTGTACCTCTCACAACAGTTGCCAGGCAGGTTGGATCTCTGGCAGGGATTGAACCCCAGACTGAGGTGTCCGGACGCTTTGTGTAGGAAAGCGTCCCTTTGAACTTTATAAGTTTAGTTTATAGGGAAATGTCCTGGCAGGTGTGGTAAGGAAGATGAAGTTGGCAGTGGGTTTTGAGTACGAGAGGGGAAGGTGACCAAGATAGGAGAGAGAGTAAAGGGCCGCAGAGCCGTGGAGAGCTGTTGAGGGCGTGGCAGGGGGGCCATGGTGCTGTGGGCGCTGGCGCCTGAGCTCTGGACAGCTACGTTGGGGTCTCCCAGGAGGGCAGACCATACGGCTCTGCTTTGGCCCAGCTTCTCCAGTGATTCCTGCTTGTCCTGGGATGTGTCAGACAACATGAGGCAGGGCAGCTGGGCTGGCAGCTGGTGGTGAACTCGGGAGAGCTGGGTGGGCCCAGGAGAGTGGGAAGCTGTTTTAAGGACCAGAGGACTAAGGGAAGGGAGGGCGTTGGGAGTGTGAGGACGTGCCCGTTCTCACACTCGTCAGAGGGGATTGGGCACCAGAGTGGTTTCTGCAGTGAGATTGGGTCGGAATGTAAAATGGTTATTCAGGCGAAGAGCCAGCAAGTAAATAATGTTTTAAAAATAAATCTACAGCTGCCTTTTCCCCTGAAATATACTGTGTTGGGCCGACCAGATAGCTCAGTGGACTAAAGTGCCTACTTAGGCAGGTGTAGGGAGCAGGATTGGATCCCCAGTGTGCCGTGCCAGCCTTGCCCCCAGGGCACACTGAGATGGTGACTGAGACTGGGCGTGGTAGTGCACACCTGTAATTGCAGCACTTGAGAGGCTGAAAACAGGAGAATCACTCTGAGTCTGATCTTTGCAGTGAGACCCTGTAGGTCCTGTGCTAAAATACAAAAAAAGAAAAAAGAAAGAAAGAAAATACTTTGTCACCTTGCTGCTTTGAATTTGTTCTGTGAATGGAAACAAATATTGGAGTGTGAGGAATTAGCTGGGTTCAGAGGCTCGCAGCTGAATTCCCAGCCCTTTTTTTAATTTTTGTTTTGAGATAAGGTCTGGCTGAACTGCCCTGCCCGGCCTCTGACTGCAGTCCTCCTGCGTCAGCCTCCTGGCGCCTGCGAGGCTTTCGTGGAGACTTGCCTTTGATGGAAGTTCTAGAATTGCTGGCACCTGGGACGTAGGCCCACGTAGTGCTGCTGTCTGACAGCCCAGCTAAGACTGACTGAGGCAAGGGTGGAGCTGTGCATAAGCACCGCACCGCAGAGCTCCAAACACTGAATAAAAGAAAGGAGCCTGGCTGGGTCCTTGCAGCTGGAGCTGTTGGGCGCTGGGCTGGCGGTGTCCGGCTGTATCTGTCTTCTGCTCATGACAGGTGTTCCGTTCCCACACTCAGAGAGCTGCTATCTTTGACTAAAATGGTAGAGGTTGTCCGGACCCAAAGAGCCTCACGAATGCTGGTCTTTGGTCTTTAGAACTTGCAGTCACTAGGTTTTAGAGGGGCCACAGCTTTGAGCCGTAAGCATCTCTGACCACTACACCACAGATCGAAAGAGGAAAGTCTGTCTTTCAGTCATTGCAGTGTGTTTGGGAGAAAGCAGAATCCACAGTCAGCGGCTTAGAGTGCGACTTGCCTGCTGGTAGCCAGCTGCTGGCCGGGACGCGTACATCTGCGCCCTGCCAGCGTCTTCTCACTCTGAAGTGGTGAACCCCCATACCCCTTTATGGCTTCAGCCTTTGCATCTTTGCCTGGTTTCACACATCTGTTCTCGAGTGCGTCAGAACCTCGGGGCCGTCTGCCAGTTCAGCGCCGAGGCTTCGGCTCCAGTCCCACCCGCTCTAATGCCAGTGTCTTCAACGTAGGCAGCCTTCTGTTTTGGGGCAGCGTCTCAAGCCTCGGCTGGGTCAGCTGCCTGCTCTGTTCATGTCTGTGTCTGCCAGGGCCACTGGGTTGGCAGGAAGAGCAGTGTTGTTAAGGAAAATCCCTGGGACCAGCCCTCAGCACTGCCTGCCTGTGCTGCCTCGTGCATTTTCGAATTCCGGCAGTGCTGGCCACTGCAGGCACTTCCTGCTCTGCACACCTCTGACCCTTCTACCTCCTGCTCCCTCCCGGGAACTGACCCAGAGAATGCAGCAGCTCCAGCACCAGCCTGAATCCTGTCAGCTGACCTAGTCCTCCTGAATTCTACCTAGACCCTACATATCTGTGTCTCTCTCTCTCTCTCTCTCTCTCTCTCTCTCTCTCTCTCTCTCTCTCTCTCCCCCTAGCCCTCTTTTCCTCCTCCTCTCTCCTTCACTCTGTCTCTGTCTCTGCCTCTGTTTCTCTCTCTCTCCCTCTCCCTCTCTTCCTTTCTGTGTGTGTGTGTGTGTGTGTGTGTGTGTGTGTGTGTGTGACAGGAATCAAAGCCAGGGTCTCATGCATGCTAGGTAACCACTCCAAAATTGAACTACACCCTTAAGACTTCTATTCTGTTTTGGAACAAGGCCTGGTTATAGTGCCCAGGTTGGCTTTGAGTTTGTGATCCTCCTGCCTCAGCCTCCCAAGGAGCTGAGATTGTGACATGCATGATTGCACCTGGCTCTATGTCCTGCCTTTCTAGAGACCAAAGAAGGTGGAGTGTGATGGAGTGTGATGGTCTTATAATCAATGAATTGTTTTTAAAAGAACAAACAACTTGGAAACATCTCTGAAACTGGGTTAAGAACTGAAGAAGACTTAAGTCTTTGACAACAAGATGACAATTTAAGAAGGAGATGATGAAATTTATTTCAACAGCTGTTGTTTCTTCAGAAACCTCTGTGGTGTCCATGTCCCTGCTGACTTATTGGTCACTGTCATATGGGCAGGTGGAGTTGGAGTTGAGACCTTTTTCTCAAATAGCTCCTAGCTCCTTCCCTTCCCTTTTTCCTTCTTTCTTTCCTTCTCCTCCCTCCTAACTTTCTTTACCTTTTTTTTTTCAATTCTCTCCTTCTCTTTTTCTTACTGTCTTTTTTCTTTTCCTTTTTGGGGGTATCAGGGATTGAACCCAGGGCCTTCTCACTGAGCTGCATGTACCACTCCCCGCTTTTCCATTTTTTACTTTGAGACACATCTTGCTACAGTGGCAGGCTGGGCCTGAGCTTGCAGTCCTCCTGCCCTCCATAGAGTGCTGCTTTCCAGCTGTGTGCCCTTACGTCCCCTCCCCCTGCATTTTATTTCTTACCCTTCCTTTTCTGCCAGTGGTTTCAGCAAGGTCTGGGGCTGAGCATGTGTGGTCAGATTTGCACCAACTGTATTTGTGGGTTAAAGGAACTCTAGGGTTCTATTCAGTAAACTAGAAGAACAACCTGCCGCCTTGGAGCCTCTGAAAGCTTGGTATGCCTTGTCTCTGGTACAGAAGAGTCAGTTTTTCTTTATTTGTGCGAAGTTAAAAGAATGATTTCTGCTGCTGTGGACAAGCAGGGCAGCTATGTAGGAGTATTTATGGGGACAGGGCGTGGCCCTTTGCCCCTTCAGGGGAGGAACGTGTGGGAAGGAGACGGGCCAGTACCCAGGCCGCTTGTACCTGCTCCAACTTTAGCTTGAGCAGCATCCAGTTTTTAAGTTAACGTAGGCAGTGCCGGCGTGTAGAGTTATGAAGGTTGGGCCTCTGTGGCCGTGCTTCTCAGACTTAAGGGACACGCGACTGTGACTGCTCCCGCTCTCTCCCGTCTAGGAGCCCTGACTGCGGTCCCTGCTGCACGCGCACCATGGCGTTCCTCTCGCTGTTCATGCTTGCCGGCCTCGTGACTGGCTGCGCAGGGAACTCGTCATATAGCTTGCCACCCAGGCTGCTGCTGGTGTCCTTCGATGGCTTCAGAGCTGACTATCTGCAGCACTATGAACTCCCTCACCTCCAGAACTTTATTAAAGAAGGTGTCTTGGTAGAACATGTTAAAAATGTTTTTATCACGAAAACGTTCCCAAACCACTACAGCATCGTGACAGGCTTGTATGAGGAAAGCCACGGCATCATCGCCAATTCCATGTATGATTCAGTCACCAAGAAATATTTTTCTGACTCCAGCAACAAGGACCCTTTCTGGTGGAACGAGGCGGTCCCCATCTGGGTGACAAACCAGCTACAGGAGAACAGGTCGAGTGCTGCTGCCATGTGGCCTGGCACAGACGTCCCCATCCACAACACCACCCCTTCCTATTTCATGAATTACAATCCCTCGGTGACTTTTAAGGAGAGGCTGGACAACATCACCACGTGGCTCAGCATTTCAAACCCACCAGTCACCTTTGCCACCCTCTATTGGGAGGAGCCGGATGCAAGCGGCCACAAGTACGGGCCTGAAGATAAGGAACACATGCGCCGGGTGTTAAAGGAAGTGGACGACCATATTGGTGACCTGGTCCAGAACCTAAAAGTGGCAGGACTGTGGGACAGTCTCAACGTGATCATCACAAGTGACCATGGGATGTCGCAGTGTTCTGAGAGCAGAGTGATACGCTTGGACCTCTGCATTGATCCTTCAGACTACAGCCTCATCGATCTGACCCCTGTGGCTGCAATTCTTCCCAAAATAAGTAAGTGGACTTCGGGCTGAGGGACACTGTTACCTGAGTGGGGCACTGACTAAGGAGGGAGGGTGTGAAAGAGTGACTTCGTCACTCCTGGTGGCCTGTGGAAGAGTGACTCTGTGGCTTCTGGTGGCCTTTGGAAGAGTGGCGCTGTGGCTCCTGGTGGCCTGTGGAAGAGTGTCTCTGTGGCTTCTGGTGGCCTTTGGAAGAGTGGCGCTGTGGCTCCTGGTGGCCTGTGGAAGAGTGGCTCTGTGGCTTCCGGTGGCCTTTGGAAGAGTGGTGCTATGGCTCCTGGTGGCCTGTGGAAGAGTGGCTCTGTGGCTCCTGGTGGCCTGTGGAAGAGTGGCTCTGTGGCTTCCGGGGGCCTTTGGAAGAGTGGCTCTGTGGCTCCTGGTGGCCCAGGATGCCTGCTCACTTGGTGTGCACTCCCCTGGTGTACAGATTGTGAACAGGTGGGGTATAGATTAGGTGTTTTCTCTTGAATCTTGTTGTAGTTCACAGTTCTCCACACTAAGGGAAAAGGGAAATTTTTTTGTCTTCAACACATTTATAATAGGGCTGTAATTTGTGTCTTGCTGCTGGGTGGCTGCTACACTCTTGCTGGCTTGAACTACTGGTGGCACATGTGTGATTCATTTCTTTAGTACCACCCGTTGTTCAAGCCAGCCAATGGCATATTCAGACTATATAGTCAAACCAGTGGGAATGTGTTAAAAAATATCTTTGATTTTAGTGTAAAACATATTTTTCTTTTAGTCCTAGAAGTGGTAATTAGTAGTAGTACATAATTAGTTTCTGTTTATTCAGAGCTCAACATGAAAGTAGTACCCATTGTGTAAAAGTGATGAAGCATTGAATGCTTAGAAAATGTGTGTGTGTGTATGAGTGTGTGTGTGTGTGTGTGTGTGTGTGCATCCATCCCCAACACAGTCACATAATTCTCTGTTGTTCTAAGAACTAAAAGTGATTCAATAGATGACATTGTCCAAAATTAATTTGTAGTTGAGCAAGATTTTCCTTATTAGTCAACTATGGCTTTTCTTTTTTGTAGATATAACAGAAGTTTATGACAAATTAAAAAATTGTAGCTCTCACATGAATGTTTATCTCAAAGAAGATATTCCTAGTAGATTTCATTACCAGCATAATGATCGAATCCAGCCTATTATTGTGGTTGCTGATGAAGGGTGGACAATTGTACAAAATAAATCATTACCAAAATGTAAGTATTTAGGATATTTCTGTTGTATCCTAGGGATTCACTGCACATTGCTTTGTTAGAAAGATTGTTGGGTTACTATTATTAGTATTTGGAGTCAATCTACAATAACCAGAATTTCATTCTTAGATTGTAAGGATGGGTAAGCTTAAAAGTGTAGGTTTACTTCCTTCCAAAACTGTGGTTACTGTCAGCAAGTTTCAAGATTGCTTCCCTTCATTTGTAGAAAATAAAAGGGAAGTAAAGAAGCAAAGCTAAGGACCAGCCAGATAGCTCAGTGGATTAAAGCACCTGCTTAGGCAGACTCAGGGACCCATGTTCAATCCCCGGCCTGCTGTGCTGGCCCTGGCCCGGGGTGTGCTGAGACAGCAACTGAGATTGGGCGTGGTGGCACGCTCCTGTAATCCTAGTGCTTGGCAGGCTGAAAACAGGAGGGTCCCTATGAGTCCGATCTGTGTAGTAAGACTCTAAAATTCATTAAAGAAGAAGAAGGAGAAGGAGAAGAATTTCTTGCAGCAGCGGCAGCAAAGCTAGAGAGAGAGATTAGCTACCTCACATTCCTTTTTTGGTCTGCGTTAAAATTTTTCTGCAATCCTGAGTCGTTCCCGGTGATAAAATCATTTTCTTGATTTCCTGTATTTAGTACTATATTTTCTATATTTAGGCCACTGAGCAAGAACCAGAAAGTAAACAAAGTCCACTAGTAAACAAAATGGACCTATCAGCGTTTCTCCTAAAACAGGAGAGAGCTAAGCAGAGTTCATCCTCTGCCTTCAGCTGTGGTGCTTTCTTTCCGTCTGATGTTGTAGCCCATAGCAGGGTCAGCACATTTTTCTCAAAGGGCCAGATAATTATTTTAGGTGCCATGAGCCAGCTGGTGTCTGAGCTGGTCAAGCATGTTCTTGTAGCATATATAGGAGTCGAAGTGGACTGCTGCATTGGTTAGTCTGAACATGGGCTGGAGTTTGCAGGCCCTACTATGGTCAAGGGTAAGACAGACTCAGAGGTAGTGGAGTTTGTGTATCATTTGTGTTTATGTTATTTTTTATACTTGGGCTGCAGACCTGTAAAATATAGGAATGAAAACAAAAACATTCTGTAGTCCCTCAATACAGAGTTAGACAAATACAATGGGAGTTTCCCCCTTCTTATCTTCTTTCTATTATTTATATGTGAAAATTGTATTATTGAAATTATACCTATTCTTGCCGGGGAGATGGCTTAGTAGAATAAGTGCTTGCCTGGCAAGCGCAAGGGCCTAAGTTCAATTCCCGGTTCTGCAAAAAAAAAGAAAACCCTGAAGTTATACCTATTCTTTTTGTCATCTTGATCACGTGTTATTTTTATTATGAAATATTTCATCTAAATACAGCTGAAGAACAACAAACACAATGCACATGCAGTTTATTTAATATGAAAGTGAGAATGTATTAAATACAACAAAGGCAGACAAAAAGAGGACATTTATGAAAATGAGACCAAAAGTTGGTTCTTTAGTGTTGGAGATTCATCAGGGACCTGTTTATCCTGTTTTTCTCAGAGTCAGATCCCATCCGTGGCCCCAGGTCTGCGCTACTTGCTTTCCTTGCACATTCCTACCAGAACTCTTGTGTGGAATTCTGAATCCTGCCCCCTGCTGGTGGTGCTTGTTGACTGTCAGCCCCTCATGCATTCTGCCCTTTACTTTTTTTTTTTTTTTTTTTTTTTTTTTTGTGGTACAATGCTTTATTTAGAAAAAGATAAAAGGTATTTTTTTCTTTTAAGTGGCACACTAAAAAATAAATAAATAAATAAATGGCACACTAGTTAGGCATCTTAGATGTATTTACACACCAAATAGGGAATAAATATGCACTGATTGGAAAACAATTATCCACTTATTTATTTTGCTCTTTTACTGTACATCTTCTGTTTCAGTTTTCTTTGCCTTTTGTAAATCCTTTTTTTTCCCTTGCTTTTAAATCAACTTTTGGCTCTGGTTTTACACACTGGGTTTCTACTGGTTTTTCCTCAGCTGGTATAACAAAAACGTCTTCAGTAGGATCGTGTGGAAGAACCGTCTGGCTCTTTCTTTCTCAGCTTGTGCAGGTCTTTTACTTGCTGCTTCATCTTTTCTTCAAGAGGAATAAATTTCAGAACAAGACATTTAACGCAGGACTTGAGAACCTTGATGCCTCATTCTAAAGCAGATACTAAAATGGATCGTAGAGATAAATTATTTGTGATTAATGAGGTCTGAAAAACTGCAATAAGTGCATTTATTTTGAAGCTAAGAAAATACTAGATCTTTACATGTGGCTTTCAAATTCACCTTATGGGCCCTCTGCCAAAGTTCTTGTTCAGAATGTTCACACCCTGGCTGAATTAAAGATGACTGGAAACTGTTTGAAAGGTTCTTGCCCACTGTCTTTTGACCCTGCTTTTGATGAATTATCACATTATGCTTTGCTAAAAGAACTCTTAATTCAGATTTCTAGCACATCACAGTGTCATCCCCAAAGCCAGCCATTTGTGTACCATGTATTCACTTTTACCATTTTGGATAATAGGTTATGTTTTCAGAACTTCCAGATCATAGATGAAGATGCTCAGCTTGTAGAAATAGGATCTCGTTTTGTCTTAAATCTGATAAAGATTTTTCAGGGAAGTTTGGGAGGACCACCTTTGTATGAAAATCCTCACTACCAATCACCACACATGCACTGGTGGATCATAAGATCCGTCACCGCTGCAAAATAGGGATGCCCTTTAGGTTTGGCCGTAGGAATACCCGGTGGATCTTCTCAGGTGAGCAGGACTTCAGCCTGTCGAGGTGGGAGGTGGAGTCTGTAGGGTTCAGGCTGAGAGGGAAGAGCAGCCGCTGGAGAAGCCAGATCCGGAACCTGAGGCCAGATCCAGGGGAAGAGGGGTTGCGTGTGAAAGGGAGCTTGGTGGAGCTGAAGGAAAGGTGGAGTTTTAAACTGTGGCTCCTGCATGGTGCAGCTAACCAGAATTTTCATGGACAGGAGTTAGGCTGAATTTATAAAGCTATATACGGTTCATGAAGTGAGTGTACTTGTTCCTGAAGCAAGTTAGTTTATAAGAGGGCCAGTCTTGCTAACACCTTTTTGTTCTCTTCTCAGTAGGAGACCACGGCTATGACAACTCTTTGCCTGCCATGCATCCGTTTCTAGCTGCCCACGGTCCTGCCTTTCACAAAGGCTACAAGCAGAGCACCATGAACATCGTGGATATTTACCCAATGATGTGCCACATCCTGGGATTAAAACCACAGCCCAATAATGGAACCCTTGGGCACACCAAGTGCTTACTAGCTGACCAGTGGTGCATTAATCTCCCAGAAGCCATTGGGATTGTCGTTGGCGCACTGTTGGTGTTGACTGTGCTCACGTGCCTCATAATATTCATGCAGAATAGACTTTCTTCACCCCGCCCCTTCTCCCGACTTCAGCTACAAGACGACGATGATGATCCTTTAATTGAGTGACAGGCTGGGGCTCCTACACGGTGTCGTCTTCGATCAACCTCAGAACTAAGGATACATTCAAGGAGTAGTGTTACAACCGTGAAAACATAAAGACAGCTTAGACCAGGCATGCTGGAAGTATTTTGTGTTTCCTTGTGCTTTGTTTTGGTGCGTTGCTAATACAAACAACCCCGATTAAAGTTGCTAGTTAATCAGTTCACGTCATCTTTTTCTAACATGGCTTTTCCAGAGAAAAATGCCACCTTTTTTTTTTTTTTTTTTGTAGTGAAGATAGATACATCTTTAAATGAAACAATGAAACTATACCAAAGTTTGGTAGGCACATTTTTCTAATAAATTTATATACTTGTAAATGAAACAATTTGTGAATTTTATGTATCAGAGAGGAAAAATTTCCTATATTTTTATAGTTGCCTTTAACACATTCATCCTGGGGGGCCATCGTCTGTCTTGCTGCTGCGTGGCCCTGACCCACTGTGGGCATGCGTTCACTGTGCCGTGGGCCACATGGGATAGCTGTACATGTTCCACTGGTGGTTCAAGTCACCTGGAATGTGCTGCTCAGTTTTTATCCCAAGTGAACCACTGAAGTGGGAAATTCTGTGATGGTTAATAAAATTGGTTAGCCAGGTCCCCTAAAAAATCTGACATGGAGAAACCATTTTAAGAAAAGCTATAACAGGACGAACAAAACCCTCAGCACCGTGTAGTACAAACCTCCGCTGGCACCGCTGTATCTTTACTAAGAAACTTAAGCCTTCGAAGACTCAAAAGTTGAATTCTTTGAAGATCATTGCTAATAAATCAGAAGTAGAGAAAATGCCTTTCTCTATTTGTGTCGAATGCCTGTGTGTGTGTGTGTCGGTGCAGATGTTCTGTGAGTTACAGTAGGAAGCCCCAGGGGAGTAGGCAGCGGTCAGGCTTCCACTCGTCTAGGGCACAGCTCTCAGGAAAGGCTATTTTTGCACTGCATATTTATTTACTTCTACCTAGCTCACAAGCTAACGTCATAATTTGAAAACCTCATGAGTTTTTGTTATTGCCTCTAGCTTTCTCATGCTTATTGAAACCTCAAGTATCCAAGTAAATGCATGACCTGAGTACAGGTCTGATTTTGTTTGTGTCAAAGGGATGAAGAAAGATTTCTGTATTTATCTTTTAGACAATAGAGTAGCAAAGAAATCTGAAGTGAAATTTAGTGGCCCTGTCTTTGCACCATCCATGCGTTAAGTGGTGGAAGAGCCTCACACTGGCGGTTCTCCTGTCACATCCTTGGTAACTTCTTCACCTACAGAGCTAAGCTGCGGTATGTGTACAGCTAACCTATACGTTGATTATCTGCGGTGCCAGAAAATACAGCGCATGTCCTGGTGGGTCACTGCTAACTTCCTGAGCTGGTGTCTGTTACTTTTTATAAAACTTACTTGGGTGTTTCTGTACCCCAGACAAAGAATCCATGCTACTCGTCATAAACTTAAGTCTATTAAAAACACTGGAGGACTAACTGCTTTGGAATAAATTTTCAGATTCTTGTCTTCACATGCAATAGTTATAAAGAGAGTTGATCTAAATGAAATTTCGACTTCATCTTTTTCAAAACTATCAAAGAGCTGCCACATTAGGATTCTTTTTTTTTTTTTTATGTGGTGGACATTTTCAAAACAGCAGTGGAATATTTGACTCTAGTTAGTAGATCTTAGCCTTTGGGATGGTTTCAGTGATTGCACCAGCTTCATCGATGGTTGTGAGACTCAGAAATCCATTTACAAGGTGTCTAGCTGCAAGTGGACTGGGTGTAGGCTGGTGTGAGCCAGATGAAGTATTTAATGAGTTCATAGTGTTTAAGCCGAGACAGGCATATCGTATTAAGCATTGAATTCACTTGTCTGTAAGAGAAAGCCAATGACACGTGTAGGGACGGAGAAATCTTTTAGTAAAACTAACAGCTTCTGGTTCGGTGTGGATCTTGTTAAGTGATTATTAACTCATGTGCTACGGTATTTTCTGGGAAGTGGGAGGCGTTTGACTGTAGTTAAAGGCTCCCTGTTCATGGCCACAGTACTCAGGTCATAGGAAAGTTGATAATTTTCTGTGAATTCAGAATAAATCTGTGCTGTTGTTATTAATGTGTATGCTTTTCTACCAAACAGTAATAGAATAAAAATACTACCATGCCTTGTGCTGAAGGCTTTGGAGTAGTATTATCTGATTAGGCTTTTTTAAAATATTCACAAATGAGTTATTGGAAAATTAGAAGATTAAAATCCCTTTACGCTTTTCTTTGGTGTTTTCCTCCCTTTCCTGTGTTTTGTGTGCTTCAAGGAAGATTATATTTAATTGCTCTTATTTATAGGGTTTTGCTACTTTGTTAATATATAAGATTACAAATGAAAGACAGCAGTTAGATGTGATATATTTATTGTCAATTCTTAAAATAGAATGTAAATAAAAATAAGTGCTTTAAAGAAAATCATTAGTGCCTTAATACATATTGACAGTTGTTAGAGTTCATAGCTATAGACTTATGATTTTGAAATATATGAATAAACTCTATCAAAACATTTTGCTGTAATTATTTTGTGTAAAACTATACTGTCAGTGGTTTTTAAGTTTTTGTCATCTTTTTTTTGCAGAATATGCATAGTATGATAGGTGTGTCATTGGGACTTAAGTAATTTGCAAAAATTTTCATTTAAGCATTGTATCACAGATCTTTTAAGATATAAACTATAATTAAAGATATAACACTTAATCAATTTTTTTCCCCTTTGGAACCGGGTATTGAATTCAGGCCTTTGCGCTTGCCAGGCAGGTGCTTATTCTACTGAGCTATCTCCCTGGCCCCTCAAAAATTTAAAATATGGAGTCCAGCATGAGGTTATCATTGGAAAGAAAGCCAGGATAAATTTGCAGAGCTCGTGAACTCATTTATTGGCTTACAAAGAAGAAAAAAAGTTTTATAAGCAGATTACAAAACACCAAGTTATATTTAAGCTTTGTTTTTAATGTTGCTAAGGGCATCTAATGACTTATTCAAATGAATATAGTCAGTGAAGTTTTCTCTAGTGGGCAGTGATGCGTTCGTTGGCTCAGTGAACAAAGGAACTATGGGAAAATGGAACAATGAAAGGTACTCTTTGGCTGAAAAGTTGTGAAACTACACCTGCAGGTTTCTTGTGTCTGCTGAGCTCTCCCAAACCCTTTTCCAGGCCTGTGCCTCCAGCAGTCGGTGCCGACCCTGCCTCTCCCTCTTGGGTCCTCAGTCCGGCTGTCGGTCACATGACTGGTGGTGGGTGTGGAGAGACCCTTGGGAGTGCTGAAGCGACCGACCAGTCTTCTCACTCATCCCGTAGGAGGAGCTGTCCAAAAGGCAGGATTTGACTGACTTTGTCAGATGCAGAAATTACATTTCTTGTTATATAGCTCTTGCTTTATCTTGGTCTTAACCATTCAGCAGAAAAGTGTAAAAATGAGGTATGCAAAGTAAAGCCATAATAATATGCTGAGCTGTTAAAGGCTCAAGTCAACAACTTCTGACATTGCCAGTCCTATGGATAGCCCACTACTATTATAGACTACTGGACTATATTGGATTATTTTGCTGAATGCATGCACCTACAATATTTAAATGGCAATGGAATACTCTTCTCTGACGAAACTAACCAAAAAATGGGGATAAAATGCAAATGAAGGACCATTTTGTATACGTATATACAAAATAGGATAGATATACAGCTACTTTCTCTTAATTCAATGAGGAGAAAGATTTGTACTCAGTGTTTAGATAGGATATCATGTCTGCATCTTGTATTATAAATTACTACGAAGACAACAGTATGCAATGTATTAATTATTGAAACTGTTCTACTAACCTGCTTTGAAACTGTCTCATTGCTATTTGTTTCTCAAAAAAATTAATTAAAAAAAAAAGGAAAAAACAAACAAAAAGGCTGGCACAATCTGTACTCACAGATTAGGCCAAGATGTCTATTCCTGTGTTCGCATTTACCATTTGCAATGGAGGTCCCAGAGAGTGCTGGCAGGGAAGAATAGGGTTGCCTGACCTGAATCCCATCTCCACGTAGCTACCCATCCTGAGAAGAGTATCTTCACTTCCAATCTGTACAGTGGAGTAAAGGCAGTCTTAAGTCATGCAGTGGTTGCAAGTCTTACAGGATCCTTACATAAAGTGCTTGGAAGAGGGTTTGGGAAATTGCAAGTTCCCAAGAATGTGAGTACTGATCAGTAAGCTTTTTATACTTAACAGTGAATCATGGAACTTCTTTTGGCACTAATGGTAGACTGAAGGGTTGAACCAAAGCTGCTTCCATGAAAAATATCCAGGAGTTCTGAGCTAAGTTGTTGGGCCTTGTTGGTGCCTCCCTGTACACCGTGGAGAAATACAGGAATGAGGAAGAGATACACAAGAGACCATAGCTGGATTCAGGTGGACATGTTTGCCTGATTGGCAAAAGACTCCAGAACAGCAGTCGGGGCCTGTATTTATACCTTGGCAGCGTTTGTATCCGTTGAAACAAGGTTGCTTAGCGACTAATAGCCAAAATTGCCCAGACAGGATGTTTTTCCTCAAGACTGAAGTAGCTTAACTGCTACAGACCCCCTGGACTTCCCCTGCCCTCCCACATAGGATCAGTTTCCAGCTCAACAGCTCCCAACGTTTAAGTGTTTTCAGAACTCTTCAGGAAGATTAAAGAAATTTAAAAATTAAGAAAATGTTGAGGCGATTTTGTTTTACATGGAGTTGTAAGAAATAATAAAGACATCTCCGGATGCTCTGGTTACTTCCCATTCTGAAAATAGTAATTAAATATCACAGATACTGAAATTGATACAATTCATCAGTATTATTTATATTTTCCTAACTTTGTACTTGTTTGCTTATGTATGTATTAAACTTGATACAGTTTTATCACCAGAATATATTTATATATCCTTTACCACAGTCAAGATTCTAGTTATGGACTAACATTAATTTGATTATTGAAAATTTAACTTGTGATGAGGACAGCGAGATAGCTCAGTGATCTAAAGCGCCTGCTTAGGCAAGCTTAGGCAGCTGCAGGAGGCTGCAATTTGATCCTGACACCACATGCAGCACCAGCCTTGCCCTCAGGGCGGTCTGAGCCAGCCCCCCCAAAAAAGAAGAGGAAGACAAAGACAAAGAAAATTTA